AGACTGGCTTCTTTCTCCTTCCCCCATGCACCATCTCATTTCTTTTGTATATTTATTGACTTCCCTTTATCCCCACACCCACTTCCATTCCCTGTTCCCTATAGGCAAACTTTCTGACGGGTGTTTTTCTTTCCACCCAAATGAGCATTGTTTTGCATGCTGCTGTTTTTAATTTGTGTAAATGATATTGCTTTCAGACCGCCTGCTTCTTTTATTTTCACTTTGTTCAAGACCCATCTGTGTTGCTGTGTGTCTACAGCACGGATCCACATGAATAACCTCTCTGCTCTCACAGGGACGGACCAACTCCCTTCCACAACGGACAGTGCCACACAAGCCGTGGGCCTGTCCTTTTAAGACCTGGGAGAGCAGCAGCACCCCGTTTTTCTCCAGGCAGTTGAAACCTACCCTCTCCCCACCTTTTGCAAGGCGTGAGGGAGCCTAGAACCCTCACGCCTGCCAGCGGTTGGTATTATCTGGCTTCCTAATGTTTGCCAGTTTCCGGTATCCCTATTAAACGTGTGTCTCTCTTGCTTTTAAACGTGTCTTGATGTACTAATGTGTTCGTTTTAGGTGTTTCCTTCTCTTGAATTGTCCCTTAAGACTTCAGCCCATTTCTCTTTACTGGGGACGTCCTTATTCTGATTGGCAGGACTTCCAGATGTTCCTCTCTGGTTTTCGATGTTGCAGATATCTTCCCGTATTCTGTCCCGTGTCTTCTAACATATCCCTGGGTGTCCTTCATTAAACAGAAAACCTTAACTTTGATGTGATTAAATTTGCCGGGTTTGAGTCTGATGTTTTGTGCTTATGAATTTTTGCTTGAGAAGTCCTTCTTTGCCCTTCGGTTGCAAAATATGTTCCTACATTAACCTCATAATTTTGGCATTCCATTTAGACCTTGAATCTGCCTGAAGCCCACCCCTGGGGTCAGCCAGCCTAGTCCAAATTCTGAGGGGTTGGGGAGAGATTCTGTCTTATTTTTCTCCATATAATGAGCCAGCTTTCCAAAGCCATCATCGATCGTTCATCCTTCTTGGTGATGCCACTTTAGTCATGTATTATGTCTCCTAGGTGTACACGAGTCTGCCACTGCGCCCTCTATTCTGTTCCACTGGTCTTCATGCCTATCCCTGCACAAACCCCATATTGGATTTATCATTATGGTCTTGTAATAATTTCTTAAAGAACCTGTAGTTCAAGTCTTCCTTCTATGCCCTCTTTCATTAAGGTTGACTTAGCTATGTGAGGCCTAAATGCCTCCATATAAATTTTAGAATAACTTTTTAAAAGTCGTAAAGAATCATTTGGAATCTTTATTGAAGTTGCATTGTATTCCTAGGTTAATTTGTGAGTAATTTTTGTCTTTTGATATTATCTATCAGAGAGCACAGAATAAGTAGGTCTTCTAATTTCCTGTATATTTGTTACATTGTAATAAAAACATACTAGGAGTAAATAAATTGGGGTAGAGTGGAGAGAACCAGGTAGCCATGGTGGTGATGGGGGGGGGGGCCCATCCTGCAGCACCCCGATGAGCCCTGCAGCCCAGGGCCTGATAAGGTGATGGCCAAGGCCAAGCTCTGGCCCAGTCACATTCCTGCGGGACCAGGCGGGCCGGGCACCAGGCAGCCCTCTCAGCCAGTGTCTCATTTAATCCTTCATCAACCCTGTGGGGTGGCTGCTGCCACCCCTGCCCTACAGGTTCAGCGGGTGAGGAACTGGTCCTTGGCAGGTTGCAGAGGCAGAGTCTGGACCAGGAAGGCTGACCCCGGAGTTCGTGCTTTTAGCCATGGTGCTGCCCACCTCCTTCCTGCTTGCTACCATGATGGTTCAGGGACAGGGGAACCCTGTTCATTCACGCTGGTCCTGGGGGTGCATTTTTACCATTGCCCCGCCTGGCCTTCCCACGCGTTCTGCTTGGCGCCTGGAGCTGCTTGGGCAGTGAGCCCAGGACACGAGGGGCCCCAGCCCCTCTGCCCTCCTGGCCCTGGGGCAGAGCCGGCAGAAGACAAGCCTCACACCTGCTCTCCGTCCGTCTGCACCAGGACATGCGGCTCATCTGGGGCTGTGACTCCCACCGGGGGTCCTGGGAAAACCGCAGCCCAGGGCTCAAGGGGTCAGGGAGAGGGGCCCTGGGAGGAGGCGTCAGGGACCCAGGGAGGCCCTGCCCTAGCGGCAGCCCAGGTCGCAGAGCGGCTGGCGTAGGTTGCTGGGCCTCTTGGATCCTCCATGCCTCGTCCCCACACGGGGCTGTGCACTTGGCAGAGCTGAGAAGGAATCTGGAAGGGAGCCTTAACCTTCACACCCGGACCCCGGACCTCCTAGTTCACATACAGGCTTTACACAAGGGCTCCACCTGGTTTCTCTTCAAGCCAAGGAAGGGGGTCTCGGGGAGCCAACTACCTTCCTCTGAATCATGCGGGGCACTTGACTTCGTCACCTCACTTAGTGCTCTCAGGGCGAGGCAAGGACTTGATCTCAATTTTACGGAGCGGGAAGCGGGCTCAGAGAGGTGCGGTGACATGCGCAGGGCCACACGGCCCCTTCATAGCAGAGGCGGGATTTGAACCCAGGCCCTCAGACCCTGGTGTCCCTCTGCTCTTCCTGAGCGCAGGTTGGCAACTCTGAGACGTTGGGGGGGGGGGGGGGGGGGAGCTGAGATCCTTGGCTTGAGAATCATAGGTCTGTGAGGATAAACCCCCAGCCCCACCAAGTGTGTGCACAAAACCGAAGCCTGTGGCTCAGCTGCCGTGATGTCCACACCCCAGGATTTCCCTTCCAGGAACACGGTGACTTGCTTAAAATAGGGCCCCCCCTTCCTGTCTTTCATCTGTTGCTGGTCCCAACTTGGCATCTGGCAGGCCGGCAGCCCCGGGGCTGTGGAGAGGGTCTCATTGGACTAATTTCTCATCTGTAGAATATGCCTGACCGGCTGCAAAGCCCCCTGGGCCGGGTGCGGGTGGGGAGGGGTGCGATTCCCCGCTGGTTAGTAAGCAAGGCTGGGGCGGGAACGGGATGGTGGAGAAGGGGCTCGGGGAGGGGGACCGTCCCAGGGCTCTGCCCTCCTGTCCGCAGGCTGGGGAAGCGGGTGCGGGGAGGCGGGCTGTGTCTCTCTCCATCTGTCCCTCTCTGATCTCTCCCTTTGCAAGGGCTCATCTGTTAATTCTCTCTCTCTAGCTCTAGCTCTCTATCTCTTCCTCCATCTCTACTATCTGCCTCCTTTTGTTTCCTATGGAGGAAACAGCATGCGGTTGCATGTGACCCAGAGGCCCAGCTGCTGGAAGCAGGGTCTGGCCTGGGACACACCCCTGGCTCAGGGCGGTCAGGCTGCTGCCAAGCTCACACATCCACCTCGTAGGCCGGCGGATATCTGCTCAGGGCCCAGACGCACCAGGGCCGGGCTGACGGGGCTAGTGAGGCCGGCAAAGCGCCTGCTCTGTAGCTGTAGCTGCTCAGATTCCCGGTGGGGTGTGCGTGGGGTGGGGGACGGAGAGAGAGGGCTGGGGGATGTGCTCCCTCTCTCTGCTCAGCCCAGCCCCCTCCCCTGCCCTGCACCTCCAGCCCACTGTGACCCCCACCGTGACCCCTACCGTGACAGCAGGTCAGAGGTCAAGCCACCCACATGGCAGTCAGAATGGGAACAAGGGCCTTGCTGGGGGTGTCACCCACTGAGTGGCATTCTCTGAATGTCAGTGTCCTGGCACCTGAAGGGCTGGCAGCCCCCCAAATGGTGGGGGTTCTTCTGTGATAATAGGCCATGGTGGGTCTGGCCGAGACCAGGTGGGCTGGGGGGCCAACGCCCCAAACAAACCTCCAGTTCACAACTACCTGGTGCCTGAGGGGCTGACGCCTCCTAAATGCCCCCTCACCACGGGCAGGGGAGCCAGCGGGTGGAGAGGCAGTGACAACAGGGAGGAAGGGGAGGCTGGGCTCCTTGGAGGGGCTGTGCCAGCAACAGACTCCCCTCTTACTGAGACCAGACGGTGGGCAATGGCAGAGATAGGCTGCTTCTCTATGAAGGCAGGAGGCCCAGAGGGAGGCGGGGAGCTGTCCAGGTGCACACAGCGGGTCAGAGCCGAGTCCTGTTATTGCGACGCTGTGTGGGTCTGCTCAGCCCGGGCGGTGCCGGAGGAGGAGGACACGGTGGTCTGGCTCGGGAAGTAGAGGACGGTGAACCAGCAGAAGATGAAGACACCTGCAGAGGAGAGGGCAGGGGGGAGCCCGGAGTGAGGGGGTGGGGACAGGGAGCTGGGCGGCCTGGCGGCGGCTGCCCAGAGGAGAAATAGCCCCATCGTAAAAGTTGAAGAATTTTTGGGGAAATGGGGCAAAAATGAAACCGGAAAAAGAACCGAAAAGGCATCTTGGAGTTCAGGTTTAAATATGAAGGGTGCCCAGCCGGCGTGGCTCGGTGGTTGAGCGTCAACCTATGAACCAGGAGGTCACGGTTCGATTCCTGGTCGGGGCACATGCCCGGGTTCCATCCTCAGTGTGGGGTGTGCAGGAGGCCACCGATCCATGAATCTCTCTCATCATTGATGTTTCTATCTTTCTAAGGTGGCCCCATCAGATCCTTGACACTCCTCAGAACTGGAAGAGACCTAGTCAGACCGTCGTCACTAGACTTGACAGGTCATCTGGGGTTGAGGGACTATATTGGGGCCACGGGTAGGAATGGGCCAGCGGAGAGAGAAGAAGGTGAGAGGATGCACGTGGCTCCAGAGAGAAAGATGGAGGAAGTATCTGCTTTGGTTTGGAGGCTTTTCCTGAGCCTGGCAGCAGCAGCTCCCCTGAGGCCAGCCAGCCTTTCTGTCCCGAGCGTCTGGGGAGAGGCCTGGGTCGGATATTTACAGTCAGCAGCCCTGACCTGAGCTGGCCTCATGGAATCCTGTTTCCTGCCAACCACTCTCTCCCTGCCTCCCATCCCAACCTCCCGCCCCGGGTGCGGACGGGGCAGCCGCCACCTCCCGGGCCCAGGAGCCTCACCTTGTAAGGAGTTGAACAGTGCGAAGATGTAGATGGTGGACAGGCCCAGCGGCGTGAGGATGGCCAGCCCCCAGGTCGTGCCCACCAGGCTCGAGAGGCCCAGCAAGGTGAGGACCCCCTTCCAGTGCTGCCGCTGCTCCTTGCCGGCCGTGGCACTCGACAGAGTGAAGATCTTCCAGGCCAGCAGGCCCAGCACCACAGCGCTGAAGAGGAAGGTGACGAGGAAGTAGCCGTGGACGGTGGCATAGAGGGCAGTTTTCTCCCGGAACCAGCACCTGGTGGAGGTGGGTGGCCAATGGGACGGGGCCAGGTCCTCCTGACCAGCGAGCCCTGGGCAGTCTCCCCGGACTGACCTTCAGCGACCAAGAAGACGCCCTTCCCGTCTCCACCCAGCAACCCCCTCTCCTGGGGGAGGGGCTCTTGGGAGGCTCCGGTCTGGTGTCTCTTTTTTATTTTATTTTCGTTTTTAAATATATTTTTATTGATTTCAGAGAGGAAAGGAGAAGGAGAGAGAGATAGAACATCAGTGATGAGAGAGAATCACTGATCAGCTGCCTCCTGCACGCCTCGCACTGTGCCCTTGACTGGAATCGAACCTGGGTCCCTTGAGTCCACAGGCTGGCACTCTATCCACTGAGCCAAACCGGCTAGGGTTCTGCTGTCTCTTTAGACTAGTGGGTGCAAAAGGGTCAATTGGGCCCCAAAGATATGTTGTAAAAAAAGATATGCCCCACATGATGTTGTAAAAAAAATGAATTAATAACCATCATTTAAAAAGTAGGAGGTTTGGCATAAGCACCCAGATTTCTGCTTCTGTTGTAAAACCACATGCCTGGGGTGGGGGGAGGAGGGGTCAATCAGGAAAAAGGAGACACATGTAATACTTTAAACAATAAAAACATACACCACACACTAAAAAACAAACAAACAACAACACACATGCCCGGCAGCTGCCCATTAGACGGGTGTGTGACTGCCAGTCTAATGCAGCCCCCCTCCCCCCTGGGCTGCCACATGCACTTATCTTATGGTCTACCCTGTGGCCCCTGCATTTGAGTCCAGGGGACATGACCAGCCCCTCTTAGCACAGAGCCATGGGCCCAAGACAGACGCCCCGGGAGGGGCTTGGCTCTGCCCCACTGCTCCCTGCACTGCAGGGGTGAAAGTCCAAAAGAGAGTGTCTGTCAGCCCTCCACCCCATTGTACAGATGAGGAGACTGAGGCCCAGAGAGAGGACGAGCTTGCCCAAAGTCACACAGCAACGCAGAGGCAGAGCCTAGATAGGACCAGAGCTGCTGGGGATACGTGAACAGGTTGTGCCCTGCGCAAGGGTGCAGGTGGGGGCTGAAATCCAGCTGAGGGCCTGGCCTGTCAGATTGGGGGTAGGGGGCACTTTTAAAAACATGTCCCCAGCACTAACCGGTTTGGCTCAGTGGATAGAGCGTCAGCCTGCAGACTGAAGGGTCCCAGGTTCGATTCCGGTCAAGGGCATGTGCCTTGGTTGGGGGCACATCCCCAGTAGGGGGTGTGCAGGAGGCAGCTGATCCATGTTTCTCTCTCATCAATGTTTCTATCCCTCTCCCTTCCTCTCTGTAAAAAATCAATAAAAAAAATATATTAAAAAAAAACACATGTCCCCAAGTGCCAGATGGGCTGGTGGTGGACCAGGCTAGAGCAAGGCGTCCGCCTCCTGCTCCGGGTCTCTCTCCTCCTTCTCAGGACCCCTCGCTCACTGCATATCCTCTCTCCGGGCCTCAGTTTACCCCTGCGGATAGGAGGATCCTTCACCTTCACTTCCTGGGTCTCTCCTCTCCCCACCTCCCTCTGGCCTCCATATGTGCAGCCAGGGACCCGGAGTCACTCCTGCTCCCACAGCCACCACTCACAGCTCCAGTGTGGTCCTGTTGTCCTGGTCTTGGATGGTGTAGAGGCCATAGCTGTTGGCACTCCCGGTGCCGATGACCATGAGGACTGGCAGGCCTGGGCGGGGGAGGAGGCACGGCATTGCTGGGACGCACACCCCGGAGCCAGCCCCTCTGCCCAGCCCGGCCACACCTACCCCAGCCCACAAGGCTCAGCTTCAGGAAGTAGTGCCCGAAGTAGGTGTTGAAGACCCTGATGACGAGCAGGTAGAGGTGGAAGGCTTCCAGCACCATCCAGGTGAAGACACAGAGCAGGAAGTAGTGGAAGATGGCCCCGCAGGCCACGCAGGCAGCATGGGTCCCCTGTGGGCCATGCCCCACATCGATGAAGAAGGCCAGGTTCACGAGAAACAGGCTGACGCTCAGGGCCACGTGGATCTTAGGGGCATCTTCTGACTTGAACCTCTTCCAGGAGAACCTGGGGGAGAAGGGCCAGCGAGAGGCTGCAAGGGCCGCAGCATCACGGGGCCTCTCCACCCGCCTCCTCTGCTCCGCCCCTGCCGCGGCCAGAGCGAGGGCCCTACGGGTCCCGTCCAGGAGCCCTCCCCTGGCCACCCGGATCCTGCCGGTCTCCTCCCTCCCTCAACTCGATGCTTCAGCCCAACAGCGTAACTTGCCATTCCCTGGGTGCATTCTGCTGTCCGTGCCTGGTTTTGAAATGGTACTAGGAGGATAGAAAATGCCATCTTTGGGGAAAGCTGGGTGAAGAAAGCAGGGGACTCTATGCGCTGTTTTCACCACTTCCTGCTAGTCTATAATTATTTATTTATTTGTAAATGTATTTTTATTTATTTCAGAGCAGAAGGGAGAGAGAGAGAGAGAGAGAGAGAGAGAGAGAGAGAGAAACATCAATGATGAGAGAGAACCATTGGTCGGCTGCCTCCTGCACGCCCCCGCACTGGGGGACCGAGCCCGCAACCCGGGCTTGTGTCCTGACTGGAAATCGAGCCCTGACCTCCTGGTTCATACGTCAACAGTCAACCACTGAGCCACACCGGTCGGGCTACATAATTGTTTAAAAATATTTGAAAGACTTCAGTTCTGGGGCTCCGTGTACGATGTTACGTCAGGACAGCTGAGAGCCCGGAGTCTATAATTATTTATTTATTTGTAAATGTACTTTTAATGATTTCAGAGGGGAAGGGAGAGGGAGAGGGAGAGAAACATCAATGATGAGAGAGAACCATTGGTCGGCTGCCTCCTGCACGCCCCACACTGGGGGATCGAGCTCACAACCCGGGCTTGTGTCCTGACTGGGAATCGAGCTCTGACCTCCTGGTTCATACGTCAATAGTCAACCACTGAGCCACGCCCGTCGGGCTACATAATTGTTTAAAAATATTTGAAAGACTTCAGTTCTGGGGCTCCGTGTACGATGTTACGTCAGGACAGCTGAGAGCCCGTCATGCAAGCCTGGGCTCCCTGAGACCCCTGGGGGTGGAGAAGCTGCCGGATACGATTGACAAAGGAGAGAGCGAAGTATGAGAAGCAGAGGGAGACCGACTCCCGGGGACCTGGTCCTGGATCGAACCGCACCTGCAGTGAGCTCACTGGGGCCTTTCCATGACCCGGCCCCCACATTCCTTAGGATGTTTAAGCCCATGGGCTTTGAGTCTCTGCCACTTGTAACTGAAATGACCCAACACATGGCAACCTCCAGCCCTATTTTACGGATGAGGACACTGAGGTTTGGAGAGGACGTCCATATGATTTTGCACGACCAGGGTGCCTTTGGCCCGGCACCCTGTGCTGCCTTTGAGGACAGGAGGGCGTGGGGATGGGTCACCCACCTCAGGGCCATGTAGAAGACAATGGTGAAGGCCAGGAAAACCATGGAGGCGCCACAGCCGACCTGGGAGATTCGCACGAGGGCCCGCACGGTGGCCTTGTCCAGGGTCGGCCTCTGTGGGCAACACCCCCAACCAGGACCCCATCAGCTGGCGGCCAGGCCCACCTACCCCCAAAGGCCATGGCCCCTGCCAGGAAGCCCCCTCCCAGGACAGGAGTCTGGGCCCCTCCAGACGCGCTGGGGGTGGGGAGGGGCGTTACCAGCAGCAGGGCGAAGAAGGTCAGGTGGTCACAGCGGCAGACTGTCGCCTGCGCTCCCGGCTCCGTGGAGCAGCCCTCAGAAGACCAGTCTCCTGTGGACCCTGGAGAGGAGGGGAGAGGACCATCGGGAGGGGAGGGAGGGGAGAAGGAAGAGGAGGGGCCAGAGAGGGGGGAGGGGAACAAAGAGGAGGGAGGAGAGGGGAGGGGACTGCACCCGGAAGGGAGTCCATACTCCCCGCACCTGTCTCACCCAGAGGAGGTCCTCCAGGCCCTACCTTTAGTCACATCCCAGAATACACAGGTGAGGGTCATGTTCTGAAACCAGAGAATGGGAGTCAGGAGAGAGGCAGGGGGAGGCTGGGAGAGGGGAGAGAAGGGCATGGGAGGGGAGGAGGAGGACCGCATGCTCCCTCCTCTTAGCATGTGTGTGCAAGGCTCACACAGGAACATCGTGGTCACATAGGAACGTGGGCCACACCGTTGATGGCCCCTGGATCGGCACATGAGGGGCCTGGGTATGGTGACGGGCTGTGGGTGGGAGGGTTGCATGTCTGTGGGTGGGTGTGTAATGCCGTGTGCATGCATGTGGGTGTGTCAGGTCCTGTGCGCGCCTCTGTGAGCACGTGACGGGAGGGTTCTGGAGGCATGTGGGCATCCGCACACAGGGTGGGCACGCATCCCTGGGCACAGCTGTGTGTGCGGTCCTAACGGCTTCTCCTGGGTGGATGTGGAGGGTGGACGGTGCGGAGTCCTGTGCTTGTCTGTCCGTGTGCCCAGGGCTGCCCACCCGCCTGTCTGCCCCTGCGTCACTGCCGGCCTGGGTGGGGGCTCACCGGAGGCTGGCGCGGGTGTGAGAAGGTGATCTCCACAGGCTCCGGCAGCGCCGTGACATGCATCCGGCCCAAACTCAAGCCCACCAGGCGGTTGTTCAACACGCTGCCCTCATCCTCCAGGCTGAGCTGGGGGCCCTGCGGAAGGAGATGGGGGGGGGGGCAGGCTGCAGAAGGGCTGTCTCAACTCAGCCGTGGCAGGGTTCCTGGGAGCCTCCAGGACCCATGGTCCTTGCCTGGAGGGCAAAGTCTGGACTAGGGGCCAGAGGACCAAGGGGTCAGGGGTGACATCCTCCCTGCTGCTCCCTATGGCCTCCTGCTCGGGCTGCTCACAAAGCCAGGCACCCACCGCTCTCCACGCCTGGCCTCCAGACTCCTCTGCACGGGGCCAGGAGAAACATCAGCCCAGAAATGGGGGGCAGTGGGTGCCTATGGGGGTAAGTACCCCACCACTGAAGGCCCTGGCCGCACCAGCACTGGGCATGCACACATCTGCATGGGAGCACATATATGCCTCTGGGACACGCATGGGGCACGCCTGCATGGGTACGGGCACACTCGCTCATGTGGACTGTGTGTGTACCAGGAATAGGAAAGACATGCATGTGTGTGCATGCACAGGGACCCACAGGGACACGGGCACACTTGGGATACACGTACAGTCCAAGGTCACTGGTATGTGGGGTCCGAATATCTGAGTGTGTGGACCAGTGTGAGTCTGAAAGCCACAGGCTCTAGAGACGGGTCTGGGGTGGCCGTGAGCTGCAGAGGCTCTTTGCCTTCTCCATCGCCAGGGGGTTCCCCGAGGAAGAGGACGAGCATTGCCTGGGGAGCCTCAGAGCTGTCCTGCCCTCCACCCAGCGTCTCACCTTGAAGAGGTTCCCCGGACCGATGTCCAGCACAGATACGGCCAAGGGGACCACCGGCCGGCTGCCCTGCAGGGAGGCGAACAGGCTCCTGGGCAGCCGGACTCTGGCGGGGAACTGGTGCTTGTCCTCCATCATCTGCCCCGGAATCTGTAACCACAGACCCAGTGGCTCCTTCTCGACCCAAGGATTCCAGCCCCCAACACAGGTCCTGCCACTCCCCCAGGGGGGAGGGAAACTGAGGCATGCCAGGTGGAGAGGCGGCACCTGAGGACCTCCGCTCGGAGAGGCAGGACATCTGGGGGCACAGCCCCAGCTCTGCTCTGTCCAGGCTGTGAGCCCCTGGACACTCACGGGGCCTCAGTTTTCCCAATCCGGAGAATGGGGGTAACAAGGAGACCTTCCAGGGGTCTCGTCCTAGAAATCTGGACAATCTGTTACCGGGACCCACTCATCCACTTAACTCACCAGCACCCATTAGCAAGGTGGAGGGGCCCTGCAGGGACACAGGAGGGCTAGGTTTTGCTGGGCACCAAGCCCAGACCGTGACTCCCGCAGAATTCCGAAAGCCATGCCTGAGGAAACAGGCCAGAGCCAGCCAGCAGGGGCGGGGACGCTTCACCTGAGAGAGGTTCAGAGAGAAGTGCAGGTCTTCTGCGATGCTGGTGCTGACGTTCTTGACAAAAGCCTTCAGAAAAGGCAAATCCACCGTCCCACTCAGCCTCCTCTCCACCAGGTAGGTCTCGTAGTCCAGCCAGTATCTGCAAGGGGCCGGGGGCAGGGGCAATGTGGGGCCTTGCCAGCTGAGCCCCCCACTCACCTGGTCCCCAACCTGGATGAAAGGAGGAGAGAGACCATGGGCCATGATCATCAGGCTCTTGGGGCGGGAGGGGTGACTCAGAATAGCAACGGGAAGACCCTGGGAGCACCGAGGAACAGCCCAAGCTTGTCTGAGGGATTCCAGCCAGCAGTCCCTCTGAGTATTTCACGTGTTTGTCTTCCAGTCAGGGCACATGTCCAGATTGTGGGCTTGAATTCCCATGTAGGGAGTGCAGGAAGCAGCCGATCAATGACTCTCATCATTGATCTCTCTCATTCTCTCTCTCTCCCTCTCTCTCTCTCTCTCTCCCTTCCTCTCTGAAATCAATAAAAATATTTTTCTAAGGTGTACAAAGCATCACCCCATACCCATTAAGCAGTCACTATCTTCTCTCCTCCCCTAGCCCCTGGCAACCACTAATCTGGTTACCGTCTCAATGCATTTGCCAATTCCGGATATTTCATATAAATGGAATTAGATGGCACCTGACCTTTTGTGCCTGGCTTCTTTTACTTAGCATCATGTCTTCAAGGGTGATCCATGTTGCAGCTTGTACAAGTATTTCATTCCTTCTTTATGGGCGAATGATATTTCATTGTACAGATATATCCCATTTTGTTTATCCATTTGCCCATTGATGGACATTTGGGCCGTTTCCATGCTTGGGCTATTGTGACTAGGGCTGCTATGAACATTCACAGACAAGCTTTTGTTTGAGGATTTGTTTTCCGTCCTTTTGGGTACAAACCTAGGAGTGAAGTCGGTGGTAATGCTTTGCTTAACTTTCTGAGGATTTGTCAGGCTGTTTTCCACAGCCTGCACCATTTTACATTCCTGCCAACGAGGTAGGCACCGATTTCCTCATGTACTTGCCAATACTTATTTTTCGTTTTGCTCTTCATTGTAGGTATAAAGTGGCATCTCATTGTGGTTTTAATTTGCATTTCCCTGATGTGCAATGATGTGGAGCATCTTTTTATATGCGTGCTGGTCTTCGCATATCTGCTTTGGAGAAATTCCTCTGAGCCTTTTCAACTGCGGGATGGTAATTGCGTGGCGTGGGTGAGCGCCTCCTCGCATCTATTGAGTACTCACTGCATACCGGGAATTCGGTCTTTGAGGACGGAGCTGTGTGGAAACTGACCTATGGGAACTGAGCTGCTGTTGAACCTCACAGAACATAGAAGTTAATTGGCAGTTATTTTACCACAGCTCCCTGGCCTCCACTAAAACAGCAAGGTGAGGCCAGTCTGTGGCGCTCTCCGTGGTGCTGAAACTTCAATGCACGCCAGGTAGCTGTTTTTCTTAAACCTAGGGTCTTAAGATCTGCTGCTCAGGCTAGGCCTGAGATAGCAATGGGAAGGGAGGGGTGGGGGTGGGGGGCAGATACAGCCAGATCAAGGCTGTTGGAAAGGAGTAGCTATGGAGGGCTTGCCAGGAACACAAAAGGAGGCTCTTATTTTGACATCATTTTTGAACGCTCACAGTTACCAAGGCAAAAAACCCCCAAGAAACCACAGAAAAAATATTGTGTAATGTAAAGAGTAAGCCAGGCAGAGATGTGCAAATGTGCTTGAGTGTAGCAGGCAATTAGAACACCATCAAGCCAGAAGCAGTGGGGCGAGGCTGTCCAAACCCATGGATTGAACCACGTCAATTGAGTCTAGCTTTTGTTTACCTTTTAAAGATGGAAACAAAGAAGTATTGAGGCCCTAGCCTGTTTGGCTCAGTGGATAGAGCGTTAGCCTGCAGACTAAAGGGTCCCAGGTTCGATTCCGGCCAAGAGCACATGCCCAGGTTGCAGGCTTGATCCCCAGAGCAAGAGGCAGCTGGTCAATGATTCTCTCTCATCATTGATGTTTCTATCTCTCTCTCCTTCTTCCTTCTTCTCTGAAATCAATGAAATCAATAAAAATATTTTTAAAAAGAAGTATTGCGATTGTCATGATTACCGAATAAAATCGTGAATTGTATTTCATTATATATTTCACCTCATGCACTTAAAAAAAATTCCATGGCCTCATGAAACAGCCCCATTTGCTTTCTCAAGGAAATATTTCCTCATCTGCTCAGAGCACTTAAAAAATTATTTTAGGTGTGAAATGTAAAACAGCCCCATTTGCTTTCTCAAGGAAATATGTCCTCATCTGCTTCTCAGAGCACTTAAAAAATTATTTTAGGTGTGAAATGTAACATATTCAAAAAGTCTAAAGCATCGCTATACCAATGAATTTTTAATTACAACATCGACACCCACTTAAGTACCATCTTGCCTGCCTGATACTAGTATAGCTACTTAGATTCCTTTGGTTTCATGTTTGCCGAATACATATCTCTCCACATTGTGCCTGCTGGTGGTTGTTTTTTCACGGTTAAGTGGTGTGACATTAAACAACTCGCCTTTTACGTTGGAGGGGACACCTTGCCACTCTCCAGACATCCGAATGCCCGTGTGCAGAGCGGCAGGGGTGAGGGTGCTGTTCTGTGCTGGTAGGAGGCTCAGGGTTATGGGAACCTTGAGCCCCTGCAGTCCTGGATTGGGGGATTCTGATACCAGAGCCGATCTGGGTGGGACCTCTGAGATCATGTGGTTCGCCCCGTCCCTCCCCTTCCCTCCCCAGCCACACTGTACAGACGTGGAGACCGAGGCCCAGAGGGAGGCGGGGAGCTGTCCAGGTGCACACAGCGGGTCAGAGCCGAGTCCTGTTATTGCGACGCTGTGTGGGTCTGCTCAGCCCGGGCGGTGCCGGAGGAGGAGGACACGGTGGTCTGGCTCGGGAAGTAGAGGACGGTGAACCAGCAGAAGATGAAGACACCTGCAGAGGAGAGGGCAGGGGGGAGCCCGGAGTGAGGGGGTGGGGACAGGGAGCTGGGCGGCCTGGCGGCGGCTGCCCGGAGGAGAAATAGCCCCATCGTAAAAGTTGAAGAATTTTTGGGGAAATGGGGCAAAAATGAAACCGGAAAAAGAACCGAAAAGGCATCTTGGAGTTCAGGTTTAAATATGAAGGGTGCCCAGCCGGCGTGGCTCGGTGGTTGAGCGTCAACCTATGAACCAGGAGGTCACGGTTCGATTCCTGGTCGGGGCACATGCCCGGGTTCCATCCTCAGTGTGGGGTGTGCAGGAGGCCACCGATCCATGAATCTCTCTCATCATTGATGTTTCTATCTTTCTAAGGTGGCCAGTACATATCCTTGACTAGAATCAAACCCGGGACCCTTTGGTCGCAGGCTGACACTGTATCCACTGAGCCAAACCGGCTAAGGCTCCACTTAGCTCTTCAATGGAATGCCCTCCAAAAGCAATTCAGTGGAGAAAGCATAGTCTTTTCAGTAAATGGTGCCGAAACATTAGATATCCAGATGTAAAGGTAGTAGTAATAATAATAATGTAAAGTTAGACATTTATCTCACACTGTACACAAAAATTTAACTCCAACTGCACAACCTAATTATAAGAGCTAGACCATATACTTGTAGAAGAAAACTTAGGAGAAAATCCTTGCAACCTTGGGCTAGATGAAATGTCTTTGATATGACAGCAAACACACACACACAATTTAAATTGGGCTTCATCCAAAGTAAATGTTTGGATGTTCAAAAGATATCATTAGGAAAATAAAAAGACAAGACATACATACAGCCCTAGCTGGTTTGGCTCAGTGGAAAGAGCGTTAACCTGCGGACCAAAGTTGTCCCGGTTTCGATTCTGGTCAAGGGCACACACCTGGGTTGCGACTCGGTCCAACGTGCAGGAGGCAGCCGATCAATGATTCTCTCTCATCATTGATGTTTCTATCTCTCTCTCCCTCTCCCTTCCTCCCTGAAATCAATAGAAATATATTAAAAAATAAAATACAGCATTGGCCCGCCCCTTCTCACATTGGTGTAGCTTATACAGCCCTTCATATTTTGGTCCCGACTTATATTTTCAGTTCTATCCCCAACCCGCCCCACCTCCCCATTGTTACGTCCATCGCCAGCACGTTATTCTTTCACAGTTCAAAGCACTGGTGTTCTTCCTCAATGCTCCCTGAAGTTCGGTTGCCGGTATCTCCTAACATTGCTTGGGTGCAACTGGAAAACTCCTATGCAACCTTCAAAGCCCTTTCCTGGGTTCCCTCCTCTAGGAAGCTTTGGCAGACGTTTTTCCTTTGAGCTAACCTGGTCCCTTGTTCCCCCTTCTGTAGGACCACACTCTGGAGTCATCATCGTTTGGGCCTGTGTCTGTCCCTTCACAACTCCCAATGGCAGGGACGGGGGCTGATTTATCTCTGTATCCACTGAGTCAGAGGAGCCTCAGGGTCAGAGAGATATGCGTGTTCAACAACAAGGTGGAAGGGCGAGATGGGAGCAGCATTTTCTGGGGTCATGGGGGCTGATAGCTCCGTCCCGTCCCTCCTCCCCACCCCTGCAGGAACCCCAGATCCCTGCTCCCTCTCAGAGGGCCTTGTTACCTCTGCAAGTTTTCCAGATGACAGGAGGAGCTCCCCGACTGCGCGCAGTTGTTGAAGCACTCCGCAGTGCTCATCAGTTCGAAGGGTTCGTAATGGTCCTTATTGATGAGCCCCAGGCAGACGTTCCTCGGCTGCTCAGTCTGTGTTGTTTGCTCAGATTTGTTCGTGAAATCTTTCTCACCTAAGGGAGGGACGTAGAGTGTGAAGGGGCAGCAAGGGCTCCAGGGTCTGTGGTGTGGGCTGGAACCCCAGCTCCGCCCATTCACACTGATGGTGTGCACTTGAGCTGGATCACACCTTCCCTGGGCCTCGGGTCCAAGGTGAAAGGAGATACCCTTCCCCTCCTCCCTCACTCCCCCCCTTCTTACAGGGCCAGTGGGATGCTTTGGAGAAAGTGTGTACAAAGGGCTTGGGCATGTGGCTCTGTAGATAAAAGGTTTACTATGTTAGTGATAGTACCCTTTTGCACCTCCTCCAGGAAGTCTGCCTGGCTTTTTGCAGTTGTTTTACATCAGACTTTCCAAAGCCCTTGCAACTGTGGCCTAATGAATGTATTGGTCTTGGTTTGCCTCATTCTCCCCCATTTCCATTACAACCCTCATGGCGACCTCCTGGAGTAGGGAATACAGCAAACTGAGGCCCCTGTCGCATAGTGACTGGGGCAAGGACACCAGCTAGCTGGAGTTGGCTCCAGGACTAGCAACCAGCTTCCATGACTTCCTGTTCCGTTCCCTTTCACCTGGGACAGGGGTTGGAGAGGAAGCTTTGGGTCACATACAAGCTGTGTGGCCTCAGACAAGTTACTTAAACTCTCTGAGGCTCAATCTTCTCATCAGTCAAATGAGGCCAATGGGTTTTGGGGGAGATTAGAGATCATAAAGGACATAACTCATTGTAGGTGCTCATTTCTCATCAAAGGCAGGTGGCCTGGCTGCACGGGCTCTCATCCCTGCGAGGCAGCGACCGGCTGGAGATGAGCAGCAGCTGCCCCCTCGGTGTGGGTTTGTAAGTCCAGTTCACCACAGACCCCACCGCTCCCCACTGCCTCCCCAGCACTGACACCAAGTTGCCTCCCCCTTGTCCAGATAAAGCTCCCCGCAGTAGGTTTTTTCCCCCCTCTGCCTGAGGGATCACCATGGACTTCCCAGAGCAGCAGGGAAATGAATAAGAGCTGGCCAGGTGGGCAGGGGCTGGAGCACAGCTTTCCTGGGAAAGAGACCAGCAAGGACAAGGACTGGGGTTTTCAAACTGCCCCTGGACAACGGCCACATGTGTGCAAGGCCAAGAGTGAAGCAGGCGGAAGAGTCTTGTTCCTGGTTTGGGTGCCTGAGGACTGTGGGGCCATTGTGGGGACAGGGAGGGGGGGGGCGGAGGAGGGTAGTGGGAGGGCGGTGTAAGCCCTGCCAGGCCTCAGGCTCTACAGCTCCCCTGCCGCTTCCCAGAGCTCAGAGGCCAGCTGGAGAAGAGCTTGTCCAGGGCCCAACTGTGTCCCAGGCCCACCTGTGTCCCAGGGCCCATCTATGTCCCAGGGCCCACCTGTGTCCCAGGGCCAGGCCTGCCAGGGAGCCACAGTGCAGGTGGCGTAGTGGGGAGCATTCTCCATGCTCCCTCCATCCCCAGGGCACCGATCTGAGGCCTGGAGGACCAAAGCTTACCAGCATGGCATCTAACTCAAGCCCCCTCCCTACCCATCCTCGCCCCTGGCACGGGGTCTCCGGGCTTGGCAGGAGGGGGATGAGGAGCCAGTCGCTCACCTGAGGCCAGGAGCAGGAGGAGCGAGAGAAGCAGGGCCCCCAGGGCCCTGGGCGGCACCATCCTTGGCCAGCCTTGTCCACTCCGGAGGGAGCCCTGTGGCTGTGTATCCTCTGGTCCCAGGCTCTGCAGAGCCCTCCGGCCCCCACCCTCCCCCGCAGCGTCAGAGCTTCCTGTGGCCTTTTTGTAATCCTTCCTGCTCCATGGCGCCATCGGTTGGGTTGTGAAAGGTGTGGGGAACTGGGCAGTGCTCCCGTCTCACCCCATTCTGTGACCACCTGCAGAGGGAGCCGGACTGGGCAGGAGCTGCCGAACCCACCGGGGGACGCGCTCCTGGCCCTGCCTGGGAGGGTGTGGTGGGGCTGCGGCCCAGTGGCCACAGAGGCCTCACAAGAGCGGGCCGCTGGAGAGTGGGGGTGAGCACGGGCTTTGGAGTCAGGCACACGCAGCTCAGACCTTCCTCACAAGCTGGGGCCCTCTCTGAGCCTCTGTTTCCTCCTCTGTAAAGCAAACGGCAATGGGCTGCCTCCCAGGACCGGGCCAGAGTTTGAGGAGGCCCATACTCGCGGGCACACAGCCTGGCTACAGGGGTGAGGCTCAACGTGGATGGAATGTGTGCTCTCTTGCTCACGCCTATGGTACCTATGGTTCGAACAAAGCCAGGCTCAAATCCATGCCTGCTGGGGGCTGGGAGAAGAGAGGGAGCCAGCCCAGGGGTCCGGGCCCTTTCTCACCAGGAGAGGCAGGCCGGGAGGGGGCGGGGACCAGAGCATGGGCTCTGGGGATTGGCCAGGCCTGGGCTGACGTCTGTCCTGGCCACTTCCTGGCTTTCCTGAGCTGTCCGTTACTCTGAGCCTCTCAGAGGCGCGTGGGGATCTCATGAGAGGATGCCAGTGAATTGTTCGGTCACTTTGCGTGGCCATTATCATCTCTATCATTGTCTGACTGTCCCATGACCCGGTGGCCCAGGCAGGAAGTCGGGGCAGCAAACACACATGGGGTCGGGCATGAAGGAAGGGAGGGGCTGGCCACTTCGTCCCCAACTCTGGTGGCCCCAAGGAAGCCTGCGGATGAGGCCAAGGCCCTTGGCAGGGGTCCACCGCCACTTTGAGATCAGAAGGTAAAGGGCACCCCGCCAAGGAGGTGCATGTGATCAGTCCCCCCTCAAGCTCAGGCCAGAGCCAGACCTGCTCTGCTTTGGGGGCCTCATGGGGACCCGCCCAGCCCTGACTGGCCTCTATTTCCACTTCCTCCCACATGGCGTCTGGACAGGACTCGGTCCCCAGCTGGGCCCTCTGGGCCTGAGGAGGGCTGGGGAGGGCATGTCGGGGTCACTTGTGGGGTGTGGTGGCAGGCAGGAATCTGGCAGGGGACCCCAGGCGTGTCCCCTGGGAGGACAGACGGGAACCACTGGGCCTGCCCCTCCTCCCCACCCAGCAGCCTGCCGGCCTACCCACCCCACGTCCCCGGCAGTGGACAAGGGCTCTGTGAATTGTTACCTGCTGAGCCCACCCCCGGAGACCTGTCCTGGCACCCAAACCCTCAAAGGGTCCCATGCATACCTCACACACACCTCCCGGGGCAGCTGGGAGCGGAGGGAGGAGACCTCGGAGGGCAGAAAGCTCGGAGGCGGACCTTGGCGGACCTGCACCGGCCTTGAAGGCCTGGACACGAATAGCAACAATCAAACACGACTGCTCCCAGAACTCAAGCGGACAGAGGGTGTTTGATCTGCCTCACCTGTGTCACGGGATGGGGCGGGGAGATTTGGCCGAGCAAGGCTGGAGGCGGTGGATGATGGGAGAATCGTTCAGTCATTTCATCCTTGCAGCCCCTGTACCTCACACTGGTCCAGAAACTGGTGACACGCATCACGTGGACCAGCTGAGAGCTGAATTCAGCCCTCACGTGTGATTCCCTGGGCCAGCGAATTTTTTTGGATTGGCCACCATTTTAAAATCCAGGGATTTGACACCACCACAATGTGGATTTCTTGTTTCTCATCAAAGGCAGGTGGTCTGGCTACACAGACACTCATCCCTGTGAGGCAGTGACCGGCTAGAGATGAGCAGCAGCTGCTCCTCGGTGTGGGTTTGTCAAGTCCAGTTCACCACAGACCCCACCGCTCCCTATTGCCTCCCAACACTGACTCCAAGTTGCCATTTATCCTTCCCCTTGTCCAGTAGGTGTTTTGTTTTGTTCCCCCCGCTCCCCCCCCCACACACACACACACATAGTCCTCTTCTCTCATTCACGCTTCCCAATCAGTGACTTTTAACAGAAGCAGAGAAGAAAACTCGGGGGCAGCGCCCCAAAATGTTTACATCAATTTGTTAGGTGACGACAACAGCAGACTTTTATTTCCTTCTTTACACTCTTCTACGCTTTCCAAATTCTCTACAATGAATATCACTTCCTTTTTAATATCAAAGACAAATGAATTAGTAACTACAAAGAAAATCCTCCCCATCCGTAAGGCTGAGATGCAGATCCAATGCTGCCTCCTGCAGGAAGTCTTCCTGGATTTCCCGCCAGGCGGATGGCTCCCCTGACTCCATACCTGTAGCTCCAGGAGCTCTGGTCTGGAGGCTAGGAGGTCACAGGGGGAGTGACAGGTCTGACCCTCTGTGTCCAGCAGAGTGAACTGCGATGGGCTCTAGGCCGGTGTCACCAGCTGAGATATGCCTCGGTCTGCAGGGTGCCGGGGTGGAAACAGACTTACTCCACCATGGGCCATGGTTCCTGCCACCAGCAGGCCTTGGGGAGGCTGAGGTCCCCCAAGAGGTATGGGCTTGGCAGTGAACGAGGGTGATGCAGCTTATAGAGAGGCCCAGGTGGACAAACGGAACTAGCCCAGAACACCTATCCTAAGCCTGAGTCAGGGGCCCGCAAAGGCCCGTGCAGTAGGTAAAGGTTTACAGCAGGCACAGGGCAGCTCTGGGGAACCACGACCCAAAACACACCATTAGAATTGGGGACCCCGGGCTGTGCGTGGAGGACAGGGGAGGGGAGAGGGTGGGTTGGGAAGCTGACAGAGCACAAAGCCCTGAGCTCAGCCGCAGGGCAGCTGCTGCTGGTCGGGGTGGGGGTAGGAGTCTCCTCCCGCCGAGGTCTGAAGCTCGGCCCCAATCCCTTTCACCCTGGGTGCCACCCTTGGGTTAAAATGACAGGGGCTGCAGAGTACCCTCCTGGTGGTCGCCAGAAACAGGATAGCCACGGCCCACTTCTGTCCTGGGCAGAGGCACGAGGCCAAAGACTCTGCCAGGCCTCCAAGGTCCACCATCTGACTCCGGGGCCTGCGGTTCCCGACCCCCAGCCATGAGGGCTGAGCCCAGGGCGGGCGAGTTCAGCCCCAGGCGAGGGCGGCCAGGAGGATGGTCACCAGAAACAGGATAGCCACGGCCCACTTCCGTCCTGGGCAGAAGCACGAGGCCAAAGACTGCCAGTCCTCCAAGGTCCACGATCTGACTCCGGGGCCTGCGGTTCCCAACCCCCAGCCACGAGGGCTGAGCCCAGGGCGGGCGAGTTCAGCCCCAGGCGAGGGCGGCCAGGAGGATGGTCCCACTCCTGAGCCCCTTGAGAGTGAGCCCAAGAGCCCGGTGGTCCGAGGGCCAATTCAGAAGGCCCAGCCTGGGAGTCCGGCCGCCATGCGACAGCTCCAGCCCTCTGAGATCCCGGGGCTGGCGGCAGGGGCGCAGGCAGTGGTGCGAGGCCGCATCGCTGCTCCCTCACACCGGGTGGCGGGCTGGCGACCTAGATGCAGCTGGACGAGGTGCTGCCCGAGGTGATGGGGAGCCTGGTGCTGTCCGAGCTGCTCTTCAGAGGGGAGGGCCCGCCCTGGGCCTGCAGCCGCATGGACCAGTACCAGAGGAAGATGAGGAAGCCTGTGGGCGGCGAGGGACACGGGGCTCAGCTGGCGGGCGGCAGCATCCCCCCAACTTCTCCCTCCCAGAGTCACCTCGACTCAGATCTGCCCCCTGCCCTCTGCCCTCCTCTGAACACAGGCTCCCGGCACCAACGTGACCCCGCGGTCACCCACGACACCAGGCCACGCCTACCTTGGAAGGAGGTCATGATGCTGAAGAAGTAGAGGACAACAAGCTGGAAGGTGCCGGAAGCAAAGGAGAAGAAGACCAGGGCCCAGGGCAGGCCGAGGACCAGGCTGAGGCCCAGCAGTGTCAGCACGTGGGGCCACTTCTGGGTGTGCGGATGCAGCCGCAGGATCTGCACCACCATCGTGGCCAGCATGGCCGCGTTGAACAGAAACACCAGGCTGAAGAGGCCCAGGTTGGTGATGTGGCTGACCAGGGAGTCCCGGATCCAGCACCTGCGGACCAGGGTGGGGGCTCAGTGCAGGGCTGGGCGGGCCCAGGGGGGTGCAGGGGAACTGCTTTAAACACCAGGGGCTCATGGGGTAAAAAGTCACTCTGTCCTCAAGTCTCCTTTATTCCTTCTCGGGAGTCAAAGGAAAGGCTCCGTTGGGTGCTGATGTGTTTTTATTGCCTCTTACTCTTGCTAGTCTCCCTTTTCAACAAAGAGCCGGCCTCCGGTTCACAGCCATCAGCCAGCATTTGGTACCAGGGCTTCCTTGTCCCCGTGTTTGTTTGTATGATTACTCGCTGTGTCTGACAGTGATGCTGGTTTCTGATATGTAGTTGATATGATAATTTTTAAAAGATATATATTTAAATCAATAGTTAGACGATTTAAAGGAAATATTAAAGCAAGTAATAATATAGATGGTACAAAGGTGAAGCATGTGTTTGTTTGTATGATTACTTGCTGTGTCTGACAGTGATGCTGGTTTCCGATTTGTAGTTGATAAGATAATTTTAAAAAAATATATCTTTAAATCAACAGTTAGACGATTTAAAGGAAAATATTAAAGCAAGTAATAATATAGATGGTACAAAGGTAAAGCACTCCGAGGCCCAAACTCCTGCCCCACCACACACAGCCACTCACATGGAAGGATAGATGACACTCTCTGGGGTCCTTTGCACAGACAGGATGATGGAGCCATAGTTGTTAATGTCCACCAGTGCCACCAAGGTCACCAGGAAGGCGGGGAAGCCTGTGGACAGCAAAGAGTGAAACTCCATCTCCCACCCTGTGAGGCTCACCCCTCCCCTGCCTTCTGGTGAGCCTGAGGATGGGGGAGGGGGAAGGAGGCAGTGAGGAAGCTGCCAGAGAGCTGGGTGGAGAAGCACAGCCAGGTGCCTGGTTTGGCCAGAAGCCAGGGCAGGTCTGGGGGCCCACCAACACCCTGCACCAACTTACCCCAGCCCACGACGCTCAGCTTGAGCAGGTAGCCAGGGACGTAGGTGCCGAAGACCTCCACCACCAGTCGGTAGAGGTTGTAGCCCTCCAGGCCCATCCAGGAGAGGCAGGCTAGCAGGGAGAAGTGTAGGAAGATGGCGCTGGCGCGGCAGCCAGCCTCGGAGCCTGTCAGGGCCACCGGCTCACTGAGCAGGAAGCTCACATCCAGCAGGAAGACAGCCAGCAGCAGGTTCATGTGCACCTTGATGGTGTAATCCCGAGACTTCCTCCTGCGTGGGGGTAGGGCAAGGGGAATGGTTACCCTGTGACCCACTCCTCCTCCTCCAGGCAGCCTTCCCAGACTACACACACAAACACCACACACACACAGACTCCGGACTGCAGCCAAGCTATTCCCCACTTGTCCCTGTGCACCTACTATGTGCATTTAGGGGGTGGGGCAAGAGGAATGGTTATCCTGTGACTGGCGTGGGAAGGGGGTAGAGGGGGTACCCGCTCCTCCTCCTCCAGGCAGCCTTCCAGACTACACACACACAAACACCACACACACACACAGACTCCTGACTGCAGCCAAGCCATTCCCCACTTGTCCCTGTGCACCTACTATGTGCATTTAACAGCAGCCTTAGCCAGACAGCAAAATAGACAAATCAGTCACTACAACCCACCAGATGCTCCCAAAGTCAGGGGAAAATGCTGTTACCCACACACCACAGATCTGAGGAGGGAATGCGGTGCCCAGGGGCCAGCAGCCAGCACCTCTCACGGCTCCCACCACCACACCCATCTCCAGGGCAGGTCTCCATGGTGGTGGGTCCTGGCCTGGGGGCCTGGAACGGGCCTCCCTCCCCTCTGCCGCCCTCCCCGGTCCTACCTGGAGAAGAGGTAGGCGGCGATGGTGAGGACGCAGGCCAGGGCGGAGATGACACAGCCCACGTAGGACAGGAGGGTCAGGTAGTGCTTGTGCACGGCGTCCACCTCCACGGAGGCCACCTGGGTCCACGAGACAGGTCAGCGCTGCCTCAGTGTGCCCCCTCCATGAGCCCGTGGTCCGTGGGGCGGGGGGCCCTCCAGGGTCTGTGAACCCCCTCCCCAGACTGAGCAGACTGCGGTCCCGTGAGTGCATTTTCTGGAGGGGCCTATAGCTTTCAGCACTTTCCCCAACGGGTCCCTGACCCACAAAGGCCAGGAGCCCTCACCAGGTACCCTCTTCTGTCCGGGCACTGATTAGTTTTCTACAACATTCAACGCAGGATTGAGGTGTCTGGGATGGAGAAAGCACCTGAGTGGCCCCAGGGAAGAGCTGAAGGCCACTCTGGTCCCTCAGACTCTGGGTTCTAAGATTCTGAGAACACGAACCTCGGACACAAAGCTTCTGAGATCTTGGGGGAACTCATGCCCACCCAAGGGCCTCCACAATGGACCTCGGTACCCCCTCGAGGGCTCCTTAGAAGCACTCTCCTAGCCCCACCCCAGCCCCGAGGAATCAGCATTCTAGGTCAGGGCCAGGAATCTGCATTTTTGTCATACGCCAAAACTTGGCGGTAAACGGCAGGGGTTTTAGAGACCAGCTCCTTTCCTTAGGAGCTGTGTGACCTCGGGTAAATTGCTTAACCTCTCTGAGCCTCCGTTTCATTATCTATAAAATGGGTTGTTGTGAGGAACGGGTGACAGACTATCTGAGGGGTGGCGGGCACACAGCAAGAGCTCACCATCAGAACTGCGAAGTAGGTCAGGTGGTCGCAGTGGCAGGACGTCTGCATCTCTCTGCTGATGGTCTTGCACCCGGCGCTGCTCCAGCTCCCTGGGCCGGTCACTGGGGAGGGGACAGCAGGGGCCTCTGATCAAGCCCAGTCTCCCAGGACCCCACTGAACCCCCAAATGTATGACTGTATCATTCTCCCGAGCCTTTGCTCCACCCGGCAGATCCCTCATCTGCCATCACTCCCTCTTCAAAGCCCACCTTGTCCAGGAAGCCCTCCCTGATTAACCCCATGCCCCCCACCCTGCAGGTACCTGCCCAGGGCAGACCCCTCCACACTCACATGCCGAGCCTTCAACCCAGAATACACATTGTAGCGTCACGTTCTTCTGTAGGGGCCAGAGGGGAGAGTGGATCCATTACAGTCCACCCCTTCGTGGGCCGGACAGGAAGTCAGTGTCAGGCCACACCCCCACACCCCCACCCCCACACACACACACCCACACACACCCCATTTGGGCCTGACTGGCTGATTGGCCAGTCGATCATTTCGTTGAAGACCAGTGATTCAGAAGAGAGGGGGAAGAAAGGAAAACATGGCCAAAGGGGACCCCGTCTCCTCGGCCGGTTTGCTCACACTCACCGGCTGTGGCTGGTGCTGGAAGGTGAGCACCACGGGCTCCGAGAGGTTGGCGACCTTGGTGTTCGGCACAACAATACCCAAGACCTTCTCCCCCAAGACTTGGCTGGAATTCTTGTCCTAGATGTGAGGTGGGGAGAGAGGAGGGAGGGGTTCGGGGCTGAGAAGAAAGGCCCAGAATCCCCTAGCTCTCTAGGCTCCTGTTGCTGGCATGCTGGGTCTCCCGTTGGGAACAGTGATTGCACGTGTAGTCATTTACACTGTAGTGAGAACAATACCACTCCGACCCCCCGGGGAGATGTGCACGGTGCGGGCCAATTTCTGGCTTTGTAAGGAAGGGCTCTGACTCCTGGAGGAGGGGCTGGGCTCCACGCTTCCTTCCATCTTTCCGTCAGACAGACGTGGCTTTTCCCGGGGTGTGGAAGGGGGTGGGGGAGGCCGTACCTGGAACAGGGCTTGGCTGCTGAAGTCCACCAGGAGGAGTCTCTGGGCAGCCTCCCCCCTCCGGCCTTTGGTCTTCTGGAAGAGCGCGCGGGGCAGCAGCACCGAGTACTCCAGGATCTCCCCCGGCCCCTCCTGCAAACAGTGTCCTTAGGGTCAGCCAGAGGCAAACCCCACGCCCCCTCCGCCCCCTCCCACGCACACACTTTCCTGGATGCTGCCTGACTCACAGCAGCCCTCTCCCCCCTCCTTTGTGGGCGCCAGCATTAGCCGGGGAGCTTTATGGTTAGAGCCCAGGCCCCCAGGGGCAAACAGGCCTGAGACAATCCCACGGTATCCTGTTCTCGGGCTTCAGACGCCAATCCTGCCTTTAGCATCCTCGTGTGTGGGGTGTGGATGGCTCCCAGCTCACCAGGCCCACGCAAGAGACCATCTCACGCACAGGCGTTCTGGGGGCGGTCTCTGTCCGCACAGATGTGCCCCTTGTGCAAGGACCAGCCCCCCCTCCTCCAAGGAGTAGCCCTGACCAAGGGAATTCCTTGGGCCTGGCTCCCTCCGTGTCAGCACACATCCAGCACACCCCTCCCCGGCCTCCACATCTGCTTCCTGCCCTGGCAGGTCCCGAGCCCTGACCTCCTGCCTGGAGTGGAGGTGCAGGTCCCGCAGGCCGGCTGTGGGCTGGAGCTTCCACACGGTGGCGTTGACCCGCTCCTCCTCGAAGGACACCGTGTCCCCTGTGAACCTCAGGGAGGTCAGCTTGGACTCCAGGCTCTGCAGCTGCCTGGCAAGGGGGAGAGAGGTGGTGACTGCTGGCGGGGGTGTGGGGGGTCCAGGCTGGCGAGCAGGGAGCCACAGGGAGATACACAGGAAAGAGGCAGACAGGGAGAGGGAAAGGGGGTCAGGGGAGAGGAGAGAGGGGGAAGGAGAGAAAAACAGAGAGGATGACCTGCGGGAGGGAGAGAGGAAGCGGGAACATCCGGGCAAACAGGAAAGGGGGGTGGGGGTGGGGCCTGTCCTGGGCCCAGTTCTGCCTGGACAGACCTACTCTGAGGCCGTGGAGCAGCCCTACCATCCCCTGGCCTCGGTCTGCTGAACTGTGAAATGGGCCCATCCTTTTGCTGGGGAGAGGGCTTGGCCATCCTGTCCTGGACGGCAGGAGTGGTGTTTGCCCCACACTCCGGCAGGTGGGGCGTGGCCTGCAGGCTGAACCCCAGCTCCTCCACGAGGAGATGGAAAGACGAGAAGAAAGTTCCAGCCCCAGGCGAGGTCTCCACCCGGCCTCCCACTCCAGTCCCCAGCCTGCCCAGGTGCACACTCACTGGCTGGAGTGGGCGGGGGTGGCCGAGGGTCTCCTTGGGATCTTCCTGGGAGCCTTCAGAAGCTGGCTGAGCCGCTGGAGGTCCCGTTTCAGCTCGCACATGTCCACCGAGGCATTGTGGGAGGCCGTGTGGGGAGGATCTGGGGGGACAGACCCACCTAAGGCTATTGGTTGAGGTCCCTGCCACACTCATGAGCCTCTCCATCCTCCCACTACTCCGAGAGCTTCATTCCCATTTTATGGAAGGAAAAACGGAGGCTCTACTAGGTGGGATGGGCTCCCCATTCACTCAGAGAGGCGGCCGGCCAGCCAGGAACCTCCAGCCACCCCCGCCGAGTGACATGGGGCACCCCCACCCAGGGGCCCTGCTGACTACACACAGGAACTGGGAGGGCCCGTGCCAGGGTCCCCTCAAGAGGGATTGGGGGGGCCTCATGTGGTGGCTCTGGGGACTCCACACCCGCAGCCTCCCTGACACCAGGTTCCAGGCCCTGGGTCCCCTGCACCTCAGGGCTGCAGATTTGGGTGGTCAAACGGGGACAGGCACATGTTGAGGGGTGGGGGGCCTGTGCCTCTCCGTGCCTCAGTTTCCCCCTCTGTGAAATGGGGACAAACATCCTCTGGCTCCTGACAGCCAGTCCCTTCTTTCCATTCGCTCTGCTCCCATCCTGTTCAGACTCCATCTTCCTTCACCTGGGCCTTTCCCGCAGCCTCCGGATGGGACTTGGCCCCCTCCACCCTCACCGCTCCCTTCCCGCAGATCTCTCGAAGCGCACCTTGGATCACACTCTCCCCCTCCTCAGGCACCTTCAGTGGCTCCCCACTGCCTGTGAACGAAGCCCGCGCTCCATGAGCGGACCTCAGAGCCTGACCGTTTCCCAGCCTGCTTTGTGTTCTTCTGCCTTCCCTGCCTCAGGGCCTTTGCACGAGCTGTTCCTGCCTGGCTTACCGTGGAAGGAGAAGGTGAAGCCGACAGCACTGGGCAGGCTGGTGTTCTGGGGCCTCCACCAGGAGCTGACAGAGGTGGCGAGCATCCGGGGGCCCTGGGCCAGGATCGGCTCCTGGCCCTGGAAGCACAGGAGGCCGGAGGCTTGGTCACTCAGCAGGAAGTCGTTCTTGCCGTAGAGCAGGTGCAATTCCCCAGCATGGCGGTTCCAGGAGAGGCAGAAATGGTAGAGGCCCCTGGGGTCGGGGAAGAAGTGGGAAGCCCTGGGGACTCCAGGGAAGGGGGCGTGGACTGTGAGGGCCTCCTCCGAGTTCTCGATGGAGATGCGCAGCTGTGTCCACCGCTCATAACGGAGGCTGCTCTTCTGCGTCTGGTTCCTCTGGCCGCAGAAGCGGAAGTCCTCCCGGAAGCCTCCAGCCTGGGCACCTGAGGAGGCAGACACTGCAGATGGGACTCTGGGGCAGGGGCCATGGGAGGGGCAGGCCCGGGGACCAGAACACAGGAGCCCAGTATCTGGGACCCACACACATTTCAAAGGTCAGCACCTCAGAGGGCCTACAAAAAATGTGAGTGACCTTGCTCAAAAATCATTGGCTTCGCCCTAACCGGTTTGGCTCAGTGGATAGAGCGCCGGCCTGTGGACTGAAGGGTCCCAGGTTTGATTCCGGTCAAGGGCATGTACCTTGGTTGCAGGCACATCCCCAGTAGGGGGTGTGCAGGAGGAGGCAGCTGATCGATGTTTCTCTCTCATCCATGTTTCTAACTCTCTATCCCTCTCTCTTCCTCTCTGTAAAAAATCAATAAAATATATTTTTTTAAAAATCATTGGCTTCAAAATATGAAAAGAAGAAACTCAAAAGTCATCATTTCTAAGGCAAAGCATTTTTAAATAGCAATCAGGTATTTGATGAGGCCATGCTGCTATAGACAGGTTTTGGGCATTGCACAAGGATTCTCTGGCTCCAGAGTGAGTGGGGCAGAAACCCAGTCCGTGATCCCCACCCCAAGCTGTGCATCGGCAAACTACATCTGCCAGAGAAAAAGGGGTGCCCTGCCCTGGCCGGTGTGGCTCAGTTGGCTGGGGGTTGTCCCGTGCACCAAAAAGTTGCTGGTTCCATTCCCAGTCAGCTCACATGCCTGGGTTGCAGGCTCAGTGCCCGGTAGGGGGCATGCAGGAGGCAGCCGATTGATGTTTCTCTCTTCTCCATTTCTCTCTCTAACAATCAATAAACTATTCTTTAAAAAAAAGGGGGGGGACCTTCCTCTTTTCTCAAAGGTACCATCTACTTGCTAAGCTGTGTCTGCAGGCCTGTGCCTGCCCAAGGGCTTAGGGGTGCACTGGCCGCTGGCCTAGGCATGGGGGCCTTTGATGCCAGTCCCAGCCGTCCCAGGAAAGCCTACCTTGAACCAGGAGCAGCAGACCCAGCAGCAGCGGCCCTGTCTGCACCTGCACTGGGGCAGCCATCTTCCGCCTTAGGAGTCACCCTGGGAAGTCACTGCCTGAAAGACAGCAGGGATGTTAGCCAGGGGCCTGACCCACAGGGAGGCTGAGCCAGCCCTGCAGAGGGGAGGCCGTGTAGCATGGGGGGGTGTGAGGTGGGGAGGCAAGTGTGGAAAGAGCCCGCGGACCCCCCCAAACCTGCCAGAAGCTGAGCATCAAGAGGCTGTGGCTGGCCCCGCTGGTATGGTTCAATGGATGAGCATCGACTTATGAACCAGGAGGTCAGGGTTCGATTCCCAGTCAGGGCACATGCCCAGGTTACGGGCTTGATCCCCAGTGTGGGGAGTGCAGCAATTTTTTTTTTTTTGGTAAAAAAGAGGCTGTGGCTGACCAGAGCCCGGCCAAGTTCAAGCCCTGGCTGCACCTCTTGCTTGCCACAGGACCCTGTAGAAGTCACAGAAAATGGGGCCCTCTGGACCCAGCAGGGCAAGGCTAGGGTCATCTTTGCTAGGATCTGGTGGGGAAGGCTCCACAGCGCCACCTGGAGGCGACTCAGGAGAAAGGGGGCTCTCAGAGTCCGCTAGGATCTGGTGGGGAAGGCTCCACAGCGCCCCCTGGAACCGCCATGCCCCCTCCAGGCCTGGAGGCGACTCAGGAGAAAGGGGGCTCTCAGAGTCCTCCCCAGGAACCTCACCATCCCCATCCCCAACACCCAGCTCAGAGGACACCTCCTCCAGGAAGCCTTCCTCAAATCCCTCTGCTGGCGGTCCTGGCCTCCTTTGGTTCCCACCACTGGCCAAGGCGCCCTTTACTAGCCTCCCAGGAGGTGCAGGATGGTGCACGCCCTCCTCCGCCCGCCAGGGAGCTCCCTCCCAATCCATCTCTGTGGACAGCGGAGAGCAGGGAGGTGGGGTGAACAAGTGAAAGAAGAGTGAAGAATCAGCGCGTTCATGGCGCCCTCTACAGGGGCCAGAGGGGAAGGGCGCTTCCCATCGTGACCACCAGGGGGAGCCAGTTTCCAGGGCTCTGGGTGTCTGGAACCGCTGTGAGACTGAAGGGGAGACACTCAACCTTATGGCTCAAATGGGGGGTGGCCCAACTACCCTCACCTCCACCTCCGCCCCGGGGTGGAGGGGGCACTTCTGACCCACCATGGCCTCTCTGCCAGCCTGTGCTGGCCCACCCCACCCTCGTACCTATATTAATCCTCTCCAACCCTGTGACGTGGGCCAAACTGAGGTCCAGGGGGTTAAGTGACTTGCCCAGAAGCCAGGAGTTCTTCCTGCCTGGTCAGAACTGTGGTGCCTGGCAGAGAACCTGTGTGCCTGGCACGCATAGAGAGATGCCAGGTGGCTTGGTCTTTGCCGCTGCCATTTGGCCCTCTAACCAAGTTGGGTGGTGCCAGACGCAGACAGAAACCCTCATCCTGTGGGGAACTGCATATGGTCATGGTGACAGATGCAATCACCTGCCACAGGCCAGACGAAGGGAAGCCTGGCAACCTAGGGGCACGGGAGGAGTGAGAGTTTGGTAGAAACCAAGGAGGGCTTCCAGGAAGAGGTGGCATTTAAATGGCCTAGTTGAGGGTAGTGTTAAAGGGAGGGGTGACCCAGGCAAGAGCTCATTGTCTCCTGCTTGGGCCGTGCCTTCCTCGAACTAACCTGCCCCCCTCAAGTTACAGCTAGTCTTCTACGTGTAATGGAACCCTAATTTCTTGGGCCTCATCAATCCCATCATTGGTCAATCGGGCTCATCATCCTGCTCTGGTGGCATCACAGGACCCCTTAGAAGAAGGATGTGAAAGTGTTTTAGGGAACGGCCACTGTTTCCTAGGTTGTGATTTTTAAGGTTTCACTCTGTGGCCGCTCTGAACATTTTGAACCCTTTTGAAACTGCCTTCTGCCACCCAGACCAGAGGAAGGAAACGCAGCATCCTGGACAGAAATATGTCCCTCCTGGCCCCCCCCCCCTTTCCTTCTCCTCTCAGCCAGCCTCTGTCGCTGTCTACCTCTGACTCCCTATCCAGATGTCACCTCTTCCAGGCAGCCTCCCTTGCCGTGACCTCTGCTTTATGCTGTGAACTCGTAGTTCGCACATCACTTTGAGAATTTGGCTCAAGTTCTCCATGTTATGGCGTTTATTTTATTCTATTTTAAATGTATCTTTATTGTTGAAAGTAATACAGATGTCCGCTTGCTCCCCCCACCCCCCGCATTGATCCCCTTCACCCCGACCACGTTATGGCTTTTAGATTTGAGGCCTAGAGAGGGCCAACGACTTCCTGACATCGCACAGCAGGCGAGGATGGAGCTGGCCGGCAGGCACGCATCTCTCTGGCACACTGACCTTCGAAGTGAGCGACCACTGTCCCTAGCTTAGGTCCCAGGATAGGGTCGCAGTTCCCTCGTTGTAAATAGCACTAAAAATCAAGCCTACCGCAGCGGTCATTGCAAGAATTAAATGAGTTGATAGCCGTAAAGGACTTAGAACAGGGCCATGTGTGCGGTAGAAGCCACCTGTGTCAGCTAAATATCTCTGTATATGCCCAGCCGGCGTGGCTCAGGGGTTGAGCATTGACATATGAACGAGGAGGTCACGGTTCGATTCTTGGTCAGGGCACATGCCCGGGTTGCGGGCTCGATCCCCAGTGGGGGGCGTGTAGGAGGCAGCAGACCCATGATTCGCTCTCATCATTGATGTTTCTAGCTCTCTCTCCCTCTCCTTCCTCTCTGACATCAATAAAAATGTATTAAATAAATATCTATCTCCCGGCTGTCACAGGCCCTTCCTGTGTCGCCTCCTCCCCCCACCCCCCCCCCCTCCCGGCCCCAGCCCGTGTCCGTGGCCTCCGCAGCACCGTGCCGGGAAATTCTCAGAGCATGAAGCTTCCTTCCCGGAGCGCAACGGGAAGACCGAAACCCCACCCAGAAAAGTCCCTCCTCCCAGCCGGACCTGAGGCTGCCCACAGGACCCGGGGGACAGGAGAGCGGATGGGACAGGAAAAGACCCCAACCCAGATCGGGCAGGGGGAGGGCACGTCTGCCACCCCACGCTGCCCACTTGGCAGTACATTCAGTTCCCATGATGCAGACCACACACTCCAGCACCTCCAGGATGCCCTGGTCCCCACCCCACGTGCCCCCCACCTGGCTCAGCGGGAATGAGGGGGGTCTGTGCTCTGCAGGCTGAACCCCATACCTGAACCTCCACATGGTCCGCGTGGCCAGAACCTTGTCCCCGGTCTCTGGATCTGGGGACCCACAGAGCTGGACAGGCCTCGGCCATCAAATACTCTTAGAGCCAACCAACCGCTGGTCCCCAGGCCAGACCCTCGTCTACCCTCACACAGCACTGGCCAGGCTCGATGATAACAGCAGAGCACCCTCTACACTAGCCCATGAAATCCTTTGAGGCACCCTGTTAGGCTGGGCCTACTGCTTGGCCATTTTGCAGATGAGGAAACTGAGGCTAGAGAAGGGCTATCTGCTCCATGATCACCACGGGGGGAGTCAAGACCGGGCCCTGGGTCTCGCTCTAGAGAACTCTTTGCAGACAAAGCTCCCCGGGATGCACATGCCCTTGGCGTGGAAGATCCCCAAAGCAAAGGAGAGAAAGTGGGGGGCAGTGGAGGCAGTGCAGAGAACTCCAGCCTGGGAGAGAGGGTTTGGGGGCCGAGCCCCTCGGGGAGCCCCACCCCCCAGCTCCCCTCCCAGAGCAGCTGTCCCTGACCTCAGGCTTTTCCTAAACACACGCAGAGAGCAGAACAGTTAGGCCCAGCCTGACACAAGGGGGGCCACCGTCACAGGGTCCCCCAGGATCCAGGAGGAGCAGCGGGTACCCCTGGCTTGTCTGGGCCAGGAGAGGGGCTCAGGCTCCGGCTCCAGCTCAGGCCCAGCCCTGCCCATCTCGCGGGGGGGAGGGGGGTTGGGGGGGCCATGGGCAGGAGACCCACAGCTCACTTTCCCCCCCGGGGTCTGAGTCACTTCCTCTGCCCACCGTGTCCAGCCACGAGTCACCGAGTCACCGCCAGCCCGGGCCCTGCTCCTGGAAAAGCCATTTCCTCAGAGGATGGAGGTGGAAGTTGAGTGGACAGGACCTGGCGGCCCTGGGGTGAAGCCTTCCCTGGCAGGCACCCCTCCAGGAGGATGCTGGGGGCCTGGTCCCCGCCCCTCTCCTCCGTCCCTTTGCAGACACTGCGGCCCTCACCCACCTCCTGTCCCTCTGCCTCCCGACCCCTGCGACAGCTCCACTCATCTTTCGAGAGTCACTTCACACACACCCTCTGCTGGAAGCTCTACCCAACCCCCCATCCCCCACCAGAATTCACTTCTCAACTCTTGAGGGGGTTACCAATACCCAACCCCATTGTCACCAGGTCACATCACAGGGACCCAAACCTGCCTGTGGGGTGGGTCAGACCCCCCAAGGGAGTTGACTAAAATGCATTTTCACAGCCCCCCTTCCCCCC